TAATGCAGGCTCTCCCTCTTCTCCTTCTGACCTTTTTGATCTGGCTGAGGCCAGCACTATATCTCCTTCCTCTTCATCTCCTGTCCCTTCTTCTTCTAATTCTGCTCTTATTCCTCCTATTCACCCTTTCAATGTTCATCCCATGCAAACTCGTGCCAAAAATGGCATTGTTCAGCCTAGAGTCAATCCTACTTTGCTCTTAACTCACATGGAACCTACCTCAATCAAACAGGCCTTGACTACTCCTCACTGGTTTCAAGCTATGCAAGATGAATATCAGGCCCTTTTGAAAAATCAGACTTGGTCTTTGGTGCCTCCACCTGCATCCAAGAAACCTATAGGCTGCAAATGGGTTTTTCGTGTGAAAGAAAACTCTGATGGTACCATTCTTAAATACAAGGCAAGGCTGGTTGCCAAAGGTTTTCACCAACAGGCTGGGAGTGATTTCTCAGAAACCTTCTCCCCTGTAGTCAAACCTGTCACCATAAGACTTGTGCTAACCCTTGCTGTCACAAATAACTGGCAGATGCAGCAAATTGATGTCAATAATGCCTTCCTTAATGGGCTACTTGAAGAGGAGGTTTATATGATACAACCTCCTGGGTTTGAGGCTACTGATAAGTCTTTGGTTTGCAAGCTGAACAAAGCTTTATATGGTCTAAAACAGGCTCCAAGAGCCTGGTTTGACAGACTCAAGGGTTCTCTTCTGACTCATGGACTGCAGCCTAGCAAATGTGATCCCAGTTTGTTTTATCTTCACAACAGCAGCCTCATTATCATGGTCCTAATTTATGTTGATGATATCATCATCACAGGAAATTTCACTGCCTATATTGCTCAGCTTATTAAGAGTCTTAACTCTAATTTTGCCTTCAAAGATCTTGGTAAGTTGGATTATTTCCTAGGCATTGAAGTCTCCCATCTGCCTAATGGTTCTATCATCTTATCTCAATCTAAGTATGTGAGTGACCTGCTTACTAGAGTGAATATGGCCACAGCTAATCCTATGCCTACCCCTATGGTTTCTAGCAGTAAATTGTCTAAATTTGGTTCAGCTACTGTTGCAGATCCCACCCTGTTTAGATCTGTTGTTGGAGCATTGCAGTATGCAACATTGACCAGGCCTGAACTCTCTTTTGATGTTAACAAGGTGTGCCAATTCTTATCCAATCCTTTGGAGGATCACTGGAAAGCTGTCAAGAGAATACTGAGATATCTCAGTGGGACACTTCACTATGGTCTTCTCATTCAACCTGCCCATAAACAGCAACCTCTTTCTCTCTTGGGTTTTGGTGATGCAGACTGGGCTGCAGATCCTGATGACAGGAGATCAACCTCAGGTGCTTGTGTTTTTCTTGGGCCTAATTTGATCTCTTGGTGGTCCAAGAAGCAGCAACTTGTGGCTAGATCAAGTGCTGAAGCAGAGTACAGGAGCATGGCTCAGCTTGCCTCTGAGATGTTATGGGTCCAATCTCTGCTCACTGAATTACACTGCACTTTTCAAATTCCCAAGATTCTATGTGATAACCTAAGCACAGTTACTTTAGCTCACAACCCTGTGCTTCATAACAGAACCAAACACATGGAATTAGACATTTTCTTCCTTAGAGAAAAAGTCATCAGCAAGAGTTTAACTGTGGTTCATGTTCCTGCTCAAGACCAATGGGCAGATGCACTAACCAAACCTCTCTCTGCTGTCAAATTCCTACCTCTAAGAGACAAGCTCAGAGTTTTCAGTAAAAGGGAGCTACTGAAGACACCCTCTGATTTTAAGGGGGACTATTAGAATAGAATATTCTACTGTTTTGTCTTATTCTATTGTTTGTCATTTTCTCTTTTCACAGCTATCAGTTTGTTAGGGCACAGATTCTTTTATTCACAGCTGTCAGTTTGTTAGGGCACAGCTGTAAGTTTGTTAGTGAGCTGTGCCAGCTATATATAGCTACTGTTTGTATTCTATTTTGCTAAGAGAATGAAATACAAATCAGATTTTTTTCTCTGCTTGTATTATCTTAAGAGTTAAAAAAAAAGAGAAACCAGAAGAAAGAAGAAAAGAAAGAAGAAGAAAGAAGTATGAAAAACTTTCGAAAACCAAACTGAGAAGAAAGGAATCAGCTGAATGAAAAGATGAAAGAGAGTTTTTTAAGTTAGGGGTGGAAGCGATGAGAACTTAAGTGAAACGCGTGATGAAGTGAGAAAACAAATCCTCTGTGCTGAGTTAAAGAAAATTGGCGAAATTCCAAAAAAAAAAAAAAACTCCTCCAACATTTATTTCTTTTAAGGGTAAATATGGTTTTTTGCATTCATAACAGATAGCGGGTTGTAACCTGCTTTGGGCCGAGAAGCGCTTTGCTCCTGCGACCTACTCCAAACCAAAAAGTGTCGTTATCTCAAACCGAGACACAAATTGCTACGCCGTAGCAGCCAGCCACCACCTCGCACCGCTCTCCCGAGATAGCGCCGCTATTCCCGAGATTGATATCTCTGCTCGTAGTCACTTTCTCAATCAAGTCAATAAACAGGTTTCATCCCCTTTTGTTTTCATCCACACCAATATTGGGTTCCCAATTGCATTGTCTCTATTTTTTAGTCTAGGTCTTTGTTACTTTTATTACTGATTTTTCATGTTGCATATGATTATTTTTAATGAAGAATAAATCTGATCTATTTTCTAATTTTGAACAATTTTATCAAGAGAGAAGCTCGTAGTCACTTTCTCAATCAAGTCAATAAACAGGTTTGATCCCCTTTTGTTTTCATCCACACCAATATTGGGTTCCCAATTGCATTGTCTCTATTTTTTAGTCTAGGTCTTTGTTACTTTTATTACTGATTTTTCATGTTGCATATAATTATTTTTAATGAAGAATAAATCTGATCTATTTTCTAATTTTGAACAATTTTATCAAGAGAGAAAAACTCAATTTGGTGACTATTTGTACCTTAAAAAGTGATAATGTTTGTGAATACTTATCCTAACAATTTCAAAGTTTTATGTCCTTTACCGTATGCCCCACCAAACCTTCTACTCTCATACACCACAACAAAATGAGATAGCCAAATGCAAAAATTGACATCTCAGTTGTAACTAGTCAGACCCTACTTCTCCATGGTTCCACTTCATTTTTGGAGAATGTTGACATGTTACCTTATAAATCGCATGCCTAAATCTGCCCTTAACGATAATATTCCTCATTCAATCCTCTTTCTCCATTCCCTTTTCACACAATTCCACCGTGTGTCTTCAAGTCTGCATGTTTTGTTCACAATCTCTCTTCCAGTCTAGATAAACTATCAGTTTGATAGAAACCAACATGTATATTATTAATGAAAACGGGGAATAATCCTCTGAATTACAAAACAATAGCACACTTTGAGGGTTTGCCTACCTCTCAATGCCAAAAGGCCATATTCATCTTAAATGACAAGATATCCTTTCTCTAGTCTCCTTTCCTTATTTATAGAAAAACATGTCTTATTTGGCCAAACCATCTCTCTAACAAACCCATTAAGTAACAATACTCCCCCCCCCCCCCCCCCCCCTATCAGCTTGATAGAAACCAACATGTATATTATTAATGAAAACGGGGAATAATCCTCTGGATTACAAAACAATAGCACACTTTGAGGGTTTGCCTACCTCTCAATGCCAAAAGGCCATATTCATCTTAAATGACAAGACATCCTTTCTCTAGTCTCCTTTCCTTATTTATAGAAAAACATGTCTTATTTGGCCAAACCATCTCTCTGACAAACCCATTAAGTAACAATACTCCCCCCCCCCCCCCGGGCGGACACTCACCTTGTCATCAAGGTGAAGAATTATGGAAAACAGTCCATAATGTACTCCTTGCACCATTCTTTGCCATGTTTTATCCCTGATAAGATTTTGACGTATAGTCCCTTTGAAATCTCCTTTGTGCTTATTGTTGCTAACAAGTGCTTTTGTTGTCCCTTGTCGGTGTTTTTGTTCCGTATTATTTGTTCACAACTTCATCACCATACTTGCATGGTGCTTAGAGTGATAACAATGGAGAAGAGGAAGAAATCTCTCTAGTCCCAATGGTGCAGTATGTTACAAATCCCTCTTTGATTGATCAGCCCCACCTCATCCACTGCCTCTAAATTTGGCCCTATGGTTGCAACCTCAATTTTCAAAAGGGCGGCTCATCACTTGTTGATACCCTAATGGCTCAAATTTAGCCCTATTATTAATCAGGTAAAGCAGTGTCATAACTCTTGCAGTCTCATAGCTTTTGTCAGCTATACAACTTCCATTAAGGTCCCATTGCTGACAAGTTGAAGGCCCAGTAAAACCACATCAATAATGGAAGAAAAACAGTATTGACCAATAAAACATTGTGCACACCTTGACTGAGATTCAAAGGAATAACATTTCCATGCTCTAACAAGGACAAAGGAATCAAGCATACTTAAAACTCTATTAAGATAGTATAACACAGACGTAGAGAAAAGAACTCATAGAGTATAGATAAAGAAAATGTTGGAGAGAATAGAAGAAATAAAACAAAGAACAGAGAATGAAGAAGCTACTGGCAGCACATTGAAGGGCACCAATCCGCTTAGACAATTCAAATAGGCATGATAAAATGGAGGTTTTAGGTTTTGTGGATTACTTTAGGTAAATGTAAGAAAGGCTGTAAAATTTGAATATGTTTTCAACATGGAAATGTTGGCATGCTATACCACCACGGCTACCATAGTTCTGCAACATATACACCATTCTAAAATTGTTTTGCCTCTGGCACAATGCCTCTTAGCAGATTGTGTTGCTAATCTCTATATTGTGCTATTAACATTAACAATCACAATAATGGAGATGGCATTCTAGTAGTTTATGGAGATGGCACAATGCCTCTTAGCAGATTGTGTCACTTATATTAAAAATAAGTGTTAGTATCCAGCAAATGTTTATCATGTAAAAGAGACTGTGTTCTAGTAGTTTATAGTAAATGATTATATTTAACAGGAATACTTACCGATACCCATATTTAGTCCTCCTCTCCTCACGCTTGGGATTCAAAATAAAAATATTATATGCATTTTCAAGTTGAAGGTATTCAACCAGGCTAGACAAAAGACCATCTATCATATCAACATCTACTTGCCAATCAGCATCATTATTCCTGCAAATAGGAATTTGGAAGAAGAGAAAATAAAACAAGTCAAATAATGTTTCCAAACATGTAGTGGGAAAAAAAAAACAGAAAAAAGAATCATTGGGATTAGAAACCCATTTGCAATCTTTTGACATCCTTTTCATAATACCATTTCCACAGGTCGAGGATAAAAAATCTTAGCTAGAGGACAGGAATCCACTTTCATATGTTAGAGCAACATTTACAGTAGTTTGTTTAGTTAACTTGCCTGCACACCCCATGGCCAAGTTGGTTGATGCGTGGTTACTTGTACCACAAGGGATTTAGGTCGGGTTACAAGAATGGGAATGCAGAATGTCACTTAGCAAATAGGCTAAGTGTATTCTAGAATCCGTTCTTATGCTCTAACTTGCAATTGAATCATTAAAAATTATATACTGTTCATATTTTCTGTATACTAGCTAATTGACAGGCATAGAGGACAGAAAGAAGTGAATGAAAAGAGAAGGCTTCTTAAAACCATCAAGGCCTTTGGGTAAAATAATTAGTAGAATGAGGAAGAGAGAAAGCAAGCATAGCAGAAGCACGGGTGGCATAGGATAACTGGGAGGAGGAACTCGGGAGTCATAACGGGTGGAGAATGGGTATAATACGGGTGTAACAGAATGGGGAGGCATCTGAGATTTATTAAGTTGCATTGGAAGTTAGGCAGAAAAGAGGAGTTGGTTCTCTCTCAAATAAGGGATAATATTTCTCTTCCATATTTTAATTTCCTTCTACGTCTTGTAATGAGCTTTGCTCTAACCACTGTTACAGTCTTTATTTTCCTATATTTTCTTGTGTAAGTGCTGTTACAGAGTTTTCTCACCACTGATCATAGTGCATTTTCTATATTAAAAAATACAAATCAATTTTATTATATCAGTTTTGGGTCCTAATAAGTTGTATCTATGCTTATGCACTTAGTTTTCATAATGGGAAAATAAATTTAAAAAATGTAATAAAATGCTAGCATAAACGTATAAAGAGAACATAAAAGTTAAAATGGTTCTTCTAATAAGTACTAAATAATCTAAACATAACTTACCCACTACTGCCAACTGGATCATCCTTGCGACCAAAGACCTTTATGGCATGCTCAAATATGGAAGTAACCTTCTCTCCCATTTCAATAGCATGGACAGAATAGCTGCACCGGAACACCACAGTCATAGTAAGAAATGATAACATATACTTTCTTACTAAAGAAAATTCAAACAACAATTAAATATGAATGAACTCTATACAGATTTACTTTGGAGATGCCACGTCAAACACCTTCAACCAAGATGACCCAAAATAAGAAAGAGAGATATTCTCCACTTGTTTTTGTAGGTTAACAAATGGGTTGAAAGACAAAAATGCCACATCAAACACCTCCAAATAATTTAATATAAAAAAAATAAAAGATAAAAATGCCAAATGAAGTAAAGACTGAAAGACAGACACAACCAGAATTGACTATCAATGAGACAAGATCAAAAGGCTTCGTTTTAAAATGAGCCGAGCATAAAACAAATTAATATAAAAAATAAAAGATAAATTGCCAAAAGAAGTAACAACTAAAAAACAGGCACAATCAAAATTGACTATTGATGAGACAAGATTAGAAGGTTTAGTTTTAAAATGAGTCAAACATAAAATAAAAGAGAACTAACAAAGCCATATATGAAGGATCTACTACTTCATTACTGAGAAAGAAGGTATCATGTGGTGGGGGTTTTCAAAATACATTCTACCCGTCATACTTTTTCATCCCTTAATTAACTACACAGGTTTTATGAAGTAAGTCCTTCAAATTTGATGCCAAATCAGTCTGTATTATGCCACATACTCTTGTATCTGTCAAAATTCCCTGTTGCTTTGAAACTTAAATGGATGTAATAAAAACATTATGAAAATGTAAATGATGACAAAATTTGCTCTTCAAAACCAATAACAGATTAAAATAAAATGAAAGGATTACTTGTATTTAATTTCTGGGCTTAACCGATAAGTCATACTTGTAATTTATGTGACTGGCAACAGGATGGGGGTGCCATTGCATTTTATCTACAGTTGTTCTGTAGAATGCAGTTAGAACTTCTTCATGTCGAATTCGTGTGTGTTCAAAGATGTGATCAATTTTTGTAAACCAACGCTCAATTTCTTCCGAAAGAAGCTTGAATCCTGCGGAACATAAAAAGCACTATTGAATCCACAATAATGAAATATCCATGGAAAAGATGGGTTAGTCTTCCAACTATGTACCTTGGTTGCCCTTCCCTTCAAATCCTATAAAAATAAAGTTGATAGGAACGGGAAGGTAGATGGAATCAATTTCCTGCAGCTTTAGATAGTTCGCAATATTACCTGAAATACATTAAATTAGGAAATGAGAATTGTGTGTACTCAATTTTCAAAATGAACTGTGAAGCTTTAGCCAATTCACAGTCTAGTGCTGCTAAACCTATGAAGCATGGACTCCGACACAGACACCAGGATACGACACGATACAGACACTCCAACACCGATAATGTCAAAACATAGGACACCGACACCGCTATATATAATAGAGTATTTCATCTTTATTTATCTATCTATGATTTAAAAAGTTGAAAATATTCTAATCAAAATTAATGTCTTTAATTCTTAATTGATAATATTGTTTAAATATACGTTTAACAATTTTGAATTTGTGTAAGATTTGTCCAAAATATGTAGAAAGGTGTGTTGAAGCGAAGACAAAAAGAAATTTTTATTTGAAACACTTGTTTGAATTGTCTGACATATGTGTAATGAGTGTCATACGGGTGTCAACCATTGATCCAAAAGTGCCGAAACAAAGAAAAAAACTATATTTTAGTGGACATTTGTTTGACTTTTCTGACACTTTTTTGACCTTTCCGACACGTGTCATATGGGTGTCATACAAGTGTCGGACACCGCGACACGCCTACTCTTAGAGGTGTCCGTGCTTCATAGTGCTAAACTATTGCAAACATCGAAAAGGGAAAAAATCACTACCCATGCATATACTGTGAGAAATTTTTTGGATGTAACCAACATTCATATTTCTAAATAGTCTAAAACAAAGATACTAAATAACTGAATAGAATAGAAGCAAACAACTAAAACACTCAGAATTAACACAAACAATAATAAGACTTGAACAAGAACTAACACAACAAATGAAAGGAGAAAAAGATTTGAACAAAGGTCATTTGTGCTAATTCCATCAATTAACTATTTCAATCGACGAGATGTGAAACAGGTACAAAAGAAAGAGAATGAAAGAAGGAAGACAGAAAGATTGAAAAGGGGGCAAAGTAGGGAAACTCCAACTCGAGGAAACGCCAATTAGTTAGGAATCGCCATATAGCTACATGTCTTTCCCTTACTCGCAAATGGTCAGTAAAATTACAATCAGATGAGTGCTAGGAACACCTTCTTTCTAGCACCCTCTTTTATTGGATGAAATCCATGTAAATACCACTTTATGTGGGACCAGCTTTTAAAGTTTGGGGCCCACTATGTAGCCCTGACTCCTCTAGAAAAAAATGTGTCCGTGTCCATGTCAGATACCTAGACCGACACTTGTGATTATATTAAATTTATTTATTATTTCAAATTATTATCGGTGATGTCGTATTTGGGGTGTTCATGCTTCATAAGGGACCCATATTGATTTCATCCCATAAGAGAGTGAGTGTTATTAGAAAGAGAGTTTCTAGCCCTTCTCTTATATATTTATCCCCTTTTGTGTTTGTTTCCACCAATTTGACATTTATAATCACTTGACAGAATGTAGACATACCTGCATTGGTGTAATTAATTGCGCTCGCTTTTCCATGGTTTGAATACTTCAAATCATCAAAATCTGAAGAACCAACATACCAAGTGAATCAAAAGAAACCCATACTAGAGAAGAAAACTGATATTTCTACACATACCATGATGTATAACATCCTCACTCCAAAATCGACTCTTCTCTTTCAGGTTAAATAGCGAGAACACAGATGATCTTCCACTTTTCTGAGTTTCAACAGGAGATCCAATTGAACTAGCAACTAAGAACTGATAAACAGAAACATAATAAGCATCAAAGAAGTGAATTACGGAAATCAAAACTACAAATTAACAATGATAAAAGCAAAACCTAAGAATCAAGTATTGGTTGAATCAATGGTTCGGATGAATAATAAACAAACAAAAATGTGATTACCAGAAGAGTAGAGGTGGCGAGTAGAAGCTTCCATGGTGAACACTGAGGTTTAAGGCTGAATTTGCGAAGAAACATTTTCCTCTACTTCCTTTGCCTTTCTCCAACAATAATAAAACTAAAAAACTAGTTATTATACTACTAGTAACCGGCTTAGTAAACCATTGGGCCGAAACTTTGGGGTCATTTTTAAGGAGATTTTAACTTACCACCTCCAAATTATACTTAACACCCCCTACTTTTATATTTTTAAATTTGTTCTTGACTGAAACTGGTCTAAATTTTTGTTTAAAATTTTTGATACAGATCAAAATTTTCGATATTATATTCTAAATTTCAGATATACCAGAAATTTCATAATTTCTAGTAAGTTTTAGTAAGTTTCAGAAATTTGAAATTTATATGGTGATATCGGAATTTTCAACCTAAGTGAAATTTATGGTAGTGTTATTTGTTTGATTTTTTAGAAGTTCAGGATTTTGCAGACAGTTTTTTATAGTTGTGATTGCACCGAATTTTTTGTATGCTCCAGAGTAAATGTAAAGTTGTATAAATAGGGGAGTCATGTGTTTTTTTGATAAAAAACATCTCAAAAAATATATTTTCCTCAATTTTTTATTAAGGCAAAAGTGTACATAAACGGAGTTTCACCTCCTATAGAGTTTTGGCTTTCGAATGACATTACATCTCTTGTCGGTCTGATGTCCAAGTTGAATGAATTGTTGTCTGATGTCAAAAACAGAAAGGTGAGATAGATCGAGTTTCGTGAAGATTGGATTGATACTGACGGGAGGGTGAAATACAACCTTATTAAGTTGAAGATCGACAAATATGTGAAGGAAATATGAAGATCATTTCATCGTAGGATAACAAAAGGGTCAAGCGTGTTGGATGTTAAGCTTTCAATATTTGTTGACGCCATAATGGAGATGCTGAAACGTTCAGAATCATCTGGTAACGTTTAGGTTTTTCTTATTTATTAATCATCTGGTAGTGTTTAGGTTTTTCTTAAGTTATGTTTAATTTATGTCTAAGTTGTGTTTAATTTATGTCTAAGTTATGTAATTCATTATCAAATGTTAGTTAATGTTGATGTTGCATCAATGGAAGATAAAAAATATTAGCAAATAAAGAGTTATTATGAAGATGTTTGAATAATATATAAATGATACAAATAATACATAATATAGCAAATCCATGAAATACAAAAGATATCTAAATAGGACCGCCACGGGTTATGTGTGCAGCCAGATATTATCCGATATAAACCTCTACATATGAGTTTACCAAACCCATGAGGTTATTCATAATAACTAAAATCATTTAGAGGCGTTGTTGGTCATCGACATCAATTGAAGGAGGTGACGGCAGCACGTCATCAACAGGTACCCCAGCATCAGAAGGCCTAATATCAACTGTATGTGGGATAATGCGAGGGTGATATACAATGAGGTACCACTTTATGTAACCATCCTCACATTGCGATGGGTGTTGAGCAGTGAGTGTTCAATCTCTAACGGCACGACCAAAACTAATGAAGTCATTTTGAAACCACCAATCAATATTTGTAGATGGTATGTCTAGAATTGATCGTGGGATACTCTAAACACAATCATATTAACGCAGACACCTCTCAAGCAAGTGTCTAGCAACCATGGTATCCCACCGCATATAACTTAAATATAATGACGACTCCTCAAACTCACGATGGACTCTATGACCAGTGTATGGTGTTCATATGACATCATCTATATTTAGCACATCGAGCCTCCTCCTATACTCAGCAACACCACTGGGATGTGTTTGTCTAGTCTTCCATCTCTTCGCCCGTGGGGACCCCACCAGGAAATGTTGCACCCTCATGTCACAGATGGTGGAGAAATGCTTGTATATCCAGCACTGATATCAAAACAGAGACACGACAAAGAATAAATAAGAAATGTTATTCGTAACAATTAAATAAGAAATCAACAATAAATAATAATTTTAAGTATACATATAACAAACTCAAATAGCCAACAAGTTGTTTAGTATTAAAGATCATCACCACTTCAAGGGCTGTATACAGAAGGATCAACATATCACACCCCAAGCCCAATTGGTATCCTCAAAGCTTCTGAAGAGGCACATGTATCAGGCATCAATATAAACACCAAACATATGAAGCCAAGACATATGAAAGTGTGTGACCCTGTTGACGCCAAACTCATCTTGCATAACCGCCTCAGACACTCCCAAATCTCGTGGAACAGACTGAGATGCAAGGGACACACTAAGTATGGGAGTTGTCCATAATTTGTCGCCGATGGGGAGATGGAACAATGAGAAGATATCATCCAGAGTGATAGTCATGTCCCCAGATGGAAGATGAAACGAAGATGTCTCCTTGTTCCATCTCTCAACAAAAGCACTAAGTAGTAGAACGTCAAGCATGGTAAGGGAGCAGTGGGCAAAATCAAGTAGCTGGAACTCATGTATAATTTGGCTGACCTGCTCAAGCATCAGAATCTTAGGGAAGTTCTTCATCTTCGGCCTGTGTGATGTCACCTTTAGTGTGGGACACTCATATGACAAACAAATATAAACAAATTAGCATTTAGCTTTCATTGCACAATAATAAACAAATTAGAGTTAAACATAAAAGGCATACACCTTTCCTTGTCATAGTCGTAATGTCACGTGGTCAGCATACTCAGTAAGAATTAACTGGTCAATAGGTCCTCCAAAGAATCGCCCATCAGTGTGCACAAAGGGTTCTGTCGAATAAGTTGTAACATGCATGTTAGTAGTAACAGATGGGACCAAATCAGTAACAGCAACATTTAGCTGAACCACTCTACAAACCTCCTCCAAACTAACCTCCTCAACCACCAGATCATCAACAATAGCATCTGGTGTAACGCCCAGTTTAATTATTTGAGTTTCTGATGTATTTTATTTTTCGGCTTGCTTGTGTGGATTTTGTGGAAGGAATTGAGATCCATAATATTGGAAAAATATGTTTAATAATAATAATATGATGATTAATAGCGTTGTTGCTATTATTATTATTGTTGTTATTATTAATAATGTTTAAACATATTATTGGAAAATTAATTTTTGGATTAAAAGAAAATGAAGTATTATTATTATTTGGAGTAAAATGAAATAATAAGAGATAATATTTGGAATTAGGGGTAAGTTGGGAATTGAGAAAAGAAAAAGAGGAAGCTCACGATAGAAGTGGAAGAAGAACACGCATGAGAGAAAGAACACAGTGAAGGAGAAGAAGAGCAAGTCTGAAGCTTGAGCAAGAGGTGGGCAATCGAAGTTGTGGATTGCAGATTCATCATCAGGACTGCAATTGAGGTAAGGGGGGACTAACGGTTAAGTTTCGGTATGCATGAGTAATCGGTAGGTGGGGATTTCCTTAACCCCATGAATCGATGATGAATTGTATGATGATTATGTGTTTGATTCTGTTTTATTTTGATGTTTGATTGTTGGAATCCATTGCATGTGGTGATTGATGGTGATTTGGGGGAACTTGAGGGTTTCAAAGTAGGAATACCGTTTTAAGCCGGAAGTGGATTAATCGGCATGAATTGGATGTTTTATCGGGTCGTGTAGGATTAGTCGGGTAGAATGCATGTGGAATGTTGAGCTGATGTTGCTAGTGTTGATTCGACGAGAATCAGTGAGAGTGGGGGCTGCTGAATTCTGAGCAGCAGCTGTATTTTTTTTTTTGAATTCGCAGATGCTCGCAAGCTGCTTCGCTGGGCGAGCTGGTAGCGAACCCTCGCTGGGTGTTCGCTGAGCGAACTGGGTAGCGAGTGCCCCCAGTAGCTTCTGTTTGGGCTCGCGAGGGTGCTCGCGGAGTGAGCGTGTAGCGAATGCTCGTTGATGCTTCGCCTAGCGAGTGTGCTAGCGAGCATGACAGCATTTTGTGATCTTTATGCTGTGTTGTTTTGTTTTCTCGCGTGGTTGGACATTGCTGGTTGTGAGAGAGTATGTGATTAGTGTGGATCGATTGAGAGTGTATGGGTGATGTAGAGCGTGGATGCCTGAATACTCGTTTAATTCGAATGAATTGACGTACATTGTGATACATGAATGTGGCTATGTGCGATATGTGTTGAGTTGGATCCGTAGGATCGATACGCCTGTGCGTGTTGTATTTATATACTGTGTGTGGGAATGGATCAGTAGGATCGAGTTGCACGATGTGTGCTAGACGCGTGTGTGATGTGTGATATATGTATGTACGATGCATGATGAGATATGGTCAGGGGACCGTGTATGCTATTTGTGTGTGTGATTTTTGTTGTGTACGTGCATTGGGGTTATGCATGGCATGTAGGTTGTGGTGCTCCCTTAGTGGTGGGGGTGATGGCCAGGTGTCCATCGATTGGGATGTTGTGCTCCCTGTGAGGAGGGTTGATGGCCCAGTGTCCATCGGTGATGTGCTCCCTGTGATGAGGGTTGATGGCCCAGTGTCCATCGGTGATGTGTGCTCCTTTGTGGAGGGTTGATGGCTCAGTGTCCATCGTTGTTGTGAGTCGGTACCGCATATCATTTGTGTGAGTGGCATGTGTTGCATTGTTGTGTGTAGCGATTATCGAGGGTGGGACAGTATGTCCGGATGTGTTGTATATGAAATGATATTTTATATGTCTCTACCTTTATTTCATGTACATTTATCCCCTTAATATTTGACTGTGAATTCTCACCCTGTTGTTGTTGTTGTGGTCTGTGCTTCTTCGGAAGTACAGACAATCCAGGTGTTTAGCTAGCTTGGATTATGGCGTCGTCGTAGGATTGCTTTGATACATAACACCAGGGCTTTTTGGGGGTATTTATTGTTTATTGTTGTTTATGTGTGCCCCCATGGCGTATCTGATTTTTGTGAGATGTGATGACATGATGTATATTTTGGGCAGATGGTCATTGTTGTATATGACGATGTTGATGATACGGATGGTGTATATATGTTATGTGTTATATGACAGACTACATATTTCTTTCCCGTTTCAAATTTTATTGAAAATCAGTTTAGAAAATGGTTTGTGGAATTTCGTTGGAAATTGTTGTGGAGGCAA